AAGAGCAGACCAAGTATAGGTATGGTTTAAGAGCTTATCAGCCCATAAATTGTACTACCCTGTATTCCTTTTGTCATTGGCTATTTCATTTATGGGCAGAGCCTAATTTATGACTTGCTGTAAGTTAGTCACTACTGATAGTAGAGCAATGTTTCAAGGAAACAAGTTAGTCTTGAGTTTGTGAATATTTTGTAACATTACAAAATTATAGTGATTTCAAATATTGATACTACTTAGCTATGGATCGGTGGATAAAATAAGGAACTTTAAGGTGAAAACTAGTTATTCTGATAATAATTCTTTATGATTTTACTTTTTAACATGAGAATGTTTCTTAAGGGTTCTGTTAATAGTTTTACAGCTCAAAAGTGTTCCATGGCCAAAAAAGTTTGGGAAACACTGACCTAGACAACAACAAATATACAGTTGTGGTATTTTCAGATAAAAGTAAATTAAGTAGGTCTGTTCTATAATGAGATTCTAGGCAAGATAAATTCTGTAGTAATATCAAATTCTATTAAAACAAATTGAGTCTGTATTAAGAAATAAATGGAATAGACACAAAGTCTGTATACTTGAACTGGAGGTTGGATAGTCACTTTTACTGGAGTTGTGAATTGATCATGCTGGCTCTACTCCCTCATGAGCTTATTTCTAAACTGATCGACGCTTTCTAGATGATGATTCAAGCTGTCTAAACCCCAGATTACATACTTGAATCAGTTATGTCAGGTTTATCTAGAACAGCTAGTGCATAGAATTTAAAAGTAAAGGAGGTCATAACCACGACATACCAACTGACCTATCACCGGATAACACTGCTGTCAACCTTCCCACACAAGGTTCAGCTTTACAGTCATACTTCCCATGGGGTTTATCTCTAAGGGAAGGACAAAAACAAAGGTAGATAGAAAGAAATCAACTTAAGCATTATGCAAAAACTGCATATACCTAGAACAAACTAAACATTTTGAAAAAATTCTACAATATGATAAGAAGTAACAAAGAGTCCTGACAGGACATTTAAAATATTTTACTGAACATGAACCTGAATCAGCAATGATAAGTAACACATTTGGTGAAAAAAGTGGTTACTTCCGCTTACAACCTAAGTTCCTTGGTAGGAAGGTCTTATCAGGTTTAAGTATAGAACTTTCCGAAAAAAAAAGCAAAGTATGAGAAGCATCAAAGGCATGTCACTTTTCCTACTTGAGGAAAATAATATTAACGTAAGAAAATACATCTTCAATAAAAGTTGGAAAAGCAATAAAATCACTAAGTGAGATATCATTAAGACAAGACCTAAGTTCCATTAGGTCAGGCTTGAAAGAGATTGGGAAATAGGAACAAGAATGAAAGATAACTTGTGTTGTACCTAAGGTGACAGGGAGGGCAGCTCTGTAGCCTGTAATAGAAAAAAAAGTAAGCAACTCACAATCATGAAATAAAAATATGAAAAATGAAGCAATCCATGGAAGAGAATGGAAGACATGAAACAGAATTTCTAAGGCATTATCCTCTGAAAATAGCTCAACAACACTAGTAGATGACCAGGGAAGAACATATACAAAAATGTGACAAAAGTTTTAGCTACTAGAAGATAATCCAGCTTATCTAATAAAGAACCATATATTAGCCAGTAATGAAGCTGTAGACAATGAACACTGCTGTTGAGGCTTGCACAGAAAATGTGTACAAAGGGATAAAACAAAGTGATCACCTTGAGAAAGATGACACTTGTGTGGAAACTATGATTGATTAAAAGCATAAATCAATAAAAAAGTGGAGTCCACAACTGGGAACCAGTAAAGTGGAAGATAATTGTCTGTTGTTGTAAAAGCACCAATCTTAGGATGACCGGGCTATAGGACAAGTAGAAGACTCCCCTCCCTCTTCCTTCCTAAAACAAATAAAGTTTAAGAACTCAAAAGTAAGAAGAGCTGTGGAATATAACAATGCTAAAAAAGAAGATTAAAACAGTAATATGAATTATAAAAATATCAGCAATGACTTAAAAGTTCAAGAACTAAATCATCCAACATCACATAAGGCAAAACAGAAAATAGTTCAAGATGTAAGACAGAACATACCCAAAGAAAAAAAAAATCAGACCAGCAGAAGCTTCTCTTTAATTAAGGCTAATTAATAAATTCTGTTCTTTAGATAATGAAGGCATATATGTCTGTGAAAGATAATTTTTTTTTATAATGAGAAAAGTGGGGATGTTCCACGATTGGGTGACCACACAAACATGAACACTCACGAGGGACAACAGAAGATGATATAGAAGTTAGTTAATAAGGGCTGAACAATAGAACCATGATATCTCTTTGCATGCTCAAGGTAGACTTCATGAGGAAAGCCTCTAAAAAAAAAAAAGTTTTAAACTTGCCAAGATTGTTAGAAATATTTGCAGTAGTGACTTAAACTTAATAGCACAACTGTCAACAAAAAACTTGAATTATGGTGGGAAAGCAGAGCTTATGTAATATCTGACATTTATGCAATAAATCAAATGGATGGAAGGTGAGAGAGTGGAGAATTATTGGTAAGTGACATGTTCTGCAATGCATAAAGGGCATTCAAAATTTTGAGTGACAGCATGAGAGCAAACTCAGCAAAGAAAGGCTTACAGTATTTCAGAGGTAATACTAAAGCTGAAACAACCAGTAGAATTTGCTCTTCAAATATTCATTACCTGTATTCAAGTTTTCAACAATAAAGACAGTTAAAATATCATACATCTTTTTTGAATACTTAGCACTGTTAGTTTCTTTGTTCATAGATTTGATGCAAAATTAAGTCAATATTCATCAAGTTACACATACTCTTGTATCTGTCAGGTGATCCGAGTTGTTTTACCTACAATTCCAATCTGCCAGAAATCATTATCCTTCACATGTTCATTAAATTGAGGAAAGAAAATAAGTTCTGGGAGAAAATTATCACATTTCAATTACTGTGCAAAGCACCATGAGTGTAACATTCTGAGTTATAAACATTATGTATTATGGCAAAGTTAGGTTTGTTGATTAATATGCCACTTAACATTATGATGGATAAGCAGACATGAACATATGTATTCAGTGGTGAAATTACCTTGCACTTTGCATTCAAGTGATGTCTAGGCCATTTTAAAAACAGGAAAAGTCTCCGAAACTACAGAATATTAAAAAAACAAAAACGAATATTTGTACACCAAATTTTGGTTTGAATATTTTTTAAGTGTTCTTTGTATATTTGTTAAAGCTCTATGTAAGACTAACTGATTTTAATCATAATTTATTTTACAGTGTGCTATTTGATGGTATTACTGACAGCTCAGTTATTAAGCAGGAAGTGATATTTGCATTATATTTTGATCTAAATCCACTTTCAATGAAAAAACACAAGGCCCAATGGCGAAGGTAGAGATGGGGTTCCTTTCCCTACAAAATCCTTATTTTCCATGATGTTATGTAGTCTTTGCATCAACTTCCTTTAAGTGTTTGCTCAATACATATACACAAAATAGGCCATGTTGTCCTTCGTGCTCATCATACAGAAAAGTAGAAACTTAAAAACCACTCTTTAATAAAAAAAAACTCATTGATTCCACTCTTAAGTTCCCGTAAAGTTTTGATATCCACTACTGCTGCTGGAAACTCAATCACCATGTTAGAAAAATATAACTTTCAACTAGAGTCTAACCCATTTTTTCCAAATTTTAAAAGCTGTGCCCTCTGATCCTTATAACAAATCAATTTTGTTAGTTATAATGTTATTAGATAGCTGTTTCTCATAATTCCATTTTCACATCTTCCAACAAATTCTTATAGTTCAGTAAATTGTCCATCCTATCTGTTAATTTAAACTTCTTAAACTTGTGCAGTATATCTCTCATTTTTTCATGCCATTAGTTAGCCAATTATGCTTGATCTTCACTGTTATCTATTTCCTCTTTTTAAGAAAATGTCTATTTTGAAATTAAAAGCAATTAATTTTGGGAAATTCTACATTCTGGTGAGACAGAAGCTGCAACACTGAAGAAGGTTAAAAGATTTGATAAGTATTTTAGAGGTCAGGATTGGATCTAAGAAAAAGAGTTTTTATATGAAGTTTGGTGTAGGATGGTAGTAGAAAATGGGACATCTTAGATGGGCCAAATGAACCCTTGGAAATGAAATAGAACTACAACTGTTGTCTTTTTGATATATTTTTTAACTTGGCATAAGTTAAATTTCAATTTAATGAAGGCATCTTTTAAACAATGCAAGCTCAGTCCCATGCATACATTGTCATTATAGTTCTACAGAATTAACATTCTGCTTATATGTAAAGTGTAACCAAATTCTTTTTTTCTATCTAATAGAACATACAGTAGTTCCCATTTATAATTTATAAATCAAGTGACTTCAAGTATATCCCAACTCCCTTAAAAAGCAGAAAACTAATCAGTGCTCTGACTCCCCTCCCAACTATTTGATCCTCAACTTTTCATACATGTCTGTGTGTTTGTATGAATTTAGAAAGAATAAGATTTATTTCATAAACATATCTACTCTGTATTAAATATAGTTAATCACAGTATCAGAGAATAGTAATTTATTATATTTTTGAGTGTATAAGAAATAGGAAATGTTTATACTTAACAACTAAACACACTTAATGTCACAGTTAAAATATGAATTCTAGAAAAATCTAGCAGAAAAAAATAACCAGCTTAAATTAATAACAAAGTTTAAATTTAATATATTGTGAAAAGTGGATTTTACACACTTGTATTTGTAAATACACAAACAGTTGAAACACATATTTTGATTTCCAATTCCAATGATGTGTCTCAAATAATGTAACGAACAAGTCAACATACAATTTATACATAAATCATTCCGAATAAAAACACTTTTAGAAAACGCAGAAAAATCCGTCCATAACACTTTTTATAACTGCACAACACCTACTGTAATTGTAAAATAACTAGCAATGCCCATAATAACAATACTATACGACTTGTTTACCTAAAACCGGCCATAACAGTACATCAGTATCCAACGTACACAGCGGACTCGCGCCTTCAGTGTCGCTGCGCGAACTATGGTGCTTCTGAGGAGGTAGTCCTGGCAAGTTACGATAACTGTTGGGTTCTCTTTTTATAAAATGCTTCGAATCAAAATTAATTTCTTTTTTTACAGAATCTTCTTCGGCGTAAATAGTAAATTTTGCCTTTTTCTTTCGTATCCCCTTAATACCTGTTTCATTATTAAAGTAGCTAGATTTTGTCTCGCCGTCATCACACGAAGCCATCTTGCGTTTAAATCTCTAACAACCCGGATAGTAGATATTAACCTAAACTCTATTTTCAAGACTTACTGTGAAAGGTCCGTGATTCTTCATCTATAACGTGATTGGATTCGAACTTTCCATTTAACCAATCGGAATCTATGTAACTTAGGAGCGCGAAACTTTGCTGGGCTGTTGGCGGATTGGTTAGGCGCATGCGTATACTATGAAATCTTTCTCAATAGTATTGCGCTGGCGAGGAGGTAGGTTAATAGCTTAGACTTGTTGTGGTACGATTGTTGTTTGTCTTACTAATTTTTATTGCATATAATTCATTAAATAAATATCAAAATGTCTGAGAGCGCAGCAGCTCCCAAGAAGATCAGAAAAGTTGAGGGAGCAGGTCCAGGAGTGGATACAGATGAAAGTAGTAGAGATTTCGACCCTGAGACACAGAAGTCTTTAGAAGAGATTGATGCTTGTCAGAATGAAATCGACGCTCTCAATGAAAAGGCTAGTGAAGAAATACTCAAAGTTGAACAGAAATACAACAAATTACGGAAACCTTTTTTTGAGAAGAGAAATGATCTTATTAAGAAAATTCCAAATTTTTGGGTGACAGCTGTATCCTTTTCGTTGTGATAATGTTCTCCTTTATAAAGATATTGTTAAAGCTAAGCCTAACAACATGGAAGCTAACTTGTGTGAATGCACTTCTGCCATGCTTTGTTCTATGGTTGTTAGCATGCGGCCGTGTAGCCTGCCGCCGGGTGGCTAACCGGTATTTCTGTCGCTTCGCGCCAAATAAAAGCGTTCGTTTACATGTTTAGTCAATAGGATAGTTAACCCTAACTTTAGGACTAGAAGTTACGTCGTATGGATTAACTTGTACAGTGCAACCTTTATATCCTAGTCATTTGTAGTAATGTTATTACGCCTGAAATATAAACTTTTTTAAATTTCCTATAAAAAGGAAAATGTATCTATGATGTATTTTACATGGCTTTTTTTTTTTTTTGAGTACGTTAAATTATTGTTAGTAATAGTATTAGTAGTATTTCATAATGTTTTAACTTTGTTTCATTTCTGTAGAACTAATGTGCTCAGTTGGACTACAACAGTAAAAGTCAGTATTATCTATATATATCAAGACCCTTACTCCTCGTAGCCTATGGGGCCAATATCAACCAAAATGTTTATGTAAACACTATGGAGAATGTCCCAAGGCAGTCAAAATTGAATTTATTTCTATTTTGTAAAACCTGTTGGTTAATTACCCCCAGCCTATTATTGAGTCAATCTTGGCAGGTTGATGCTTTAGATAATGTTGAATATTCTGAATTAAATTTTGGCAGATTGCTACAAGTTCTTCAAATACCTATAGAATGATAGGTTTCTTTTTGGTGAGTGTAAAACACGTAAATATACCAGTTGGATTTTCGATACGTCACTAGTTTGGTCTGGTATTTCATTGGTGGTAGTGTCCAGGGTCACTGATGAGGAGTGAAATTCTCCGAAACTAGTCTGGCTCATATCATAAACAAACACCCAAATGAAAGTATAAACCATTCCAAGCTTTAACTTGTTGTTAAACAAATGTTTAAACAACTCTACTTATTCAATTATATACATAGTAGTGTTTATTATAATTTTTAATTTACGACATGTACTTTTGTAAAATTTAGTAAGCTTTTAGTAAATGCATGTCTGTTGTGTACGAAAAGATAATTTTTGATAACTTATTTCTTCTAAATATTTGTCTGAATTTCTGAAGCTTTTACGGAGTCAATACAGTAAAAAATGATTTTCTTGCTCAGAATGAAAATACTTCTTTTTATCTTACAGTTTTTATATTTCATTTACACAACCTTTAGGACAGTGATTCATGTTTGGTGGGCATGAGATGTGGTTATGGGCTGCCATAGGCCAAGACAGTATCTTCTTTGAATGCATCATTTTGTTAGATTTCTATTTTTCTTACTTGCACAGTGTCTATTGTTAACCTTTTCACTTCCGTTTTCTTTTAATTTCATGGTTATTGCACGTACTTAGGATCACCACTATCTATCAAATACAGTACATCGCAGCAAAAGCCCACTAGCAAAGTGTGTTACCTGCATGATCTTGCAATTGAAAGTCATAATTGAGCCAGTCCTCACATCTTTTCAGTAATTTTCATATATTATAAGTATTGAAAAGCCTTTAATGAAATTCACAATATACTCCCAAGTAATGGGGAGGTTGCATGACAGAGATCCTATAAACTCAACTATTATAAAAAATATATAGAAAAATGAGCATTCCTGAATTACCAAAATTATTAGCAGTTGCTATTTCACAGAGATACAAGTTAATTTAATGTGAATTTCCATGTCTTGAGTTGTTCTAGCAAGATCAAGTGAGTAGTATTACCATAGTTTTTTTTTAAGTTTTTTAGTGACTAGTCCTTAATGAACAGTAGTTTGTCAATCATCCACAAATCTCTGCTGTCCTTGATGAAGAAGAAGAAGAGTGTTTACATTTTCTGAGCAAGCTAGAGGTTGAGGAGTTTGAAGATATTAAGTCTGGCTATAGAATCAAGTTTTTCTTTGATGAAAACCCTTATTTCCAAAATGATGTTCTTGTCAAAGAATTCCACCTGGGTTCATCAGGTAAGAAAATATTTAGTTATTTTGGAGTTCTAATGTTTATATGTGGGGTTGAGGCACTGCTGTAAGAAATAGTTTAAGTGAGAGACAGGACATTTGTAAGAAACCATGTGTAGAGTGGTAGGTGTGTTACTATGAGACTTGAGAATAACATGCTTTGCCACTTTTGCTTCAAACATTAACAGTGTCAAAAGACTTTTGTGTCAGAACCTTTAATTTCAGAGCAAGTCTGATCAAAGACTCTGATTTTTTCTGCATGTCTCATTTACATGTATTAATTACATGCTAAGGCAAAATATTACATTGTTCCACATGTTGATATTGCATCATCACATGATCACAGTTTGATTTTAAATACCTGATACTGTAATTCAATCCAAACAATACAGTTGTCACTAGTCTGGATGAACAAGCAACATAAGATTGTGTTTTTTACTGTGTTCCAGTTTATTTTGAAAATATGTTTCCTCTTTATTACATAAAGGTTATAATTAATACAGTATTTTACTAGCTTCATAAAATGTTTCATAGTAGGCTGTTTACCTTAATTTTAACTTATTCATTTCACCAAAGCATAATATATTTGTTACCTGACATTAGCTTCAGAACATCTGGCAGAAAAACTCTAGTGGGGTAGGTAGGTGGTACTGTTTTACGGAATTATGAGAGTCAAATGTGGTATTGGCATAAGAAGCTATGTTGAGGGGAAAGTACTGTTACACAGTAAAATGTAGTATGCGGTAGTGCTACTGGAGTAAGCCTGTAAAAAAGCCATGTGATTATTGGTGGTGGTGTTGCAAGAAACCATTAATTCTGTGGCATCCACATGGATACATCATGTCCAAAGGGTGAGATTGAAATTATAGAAATTAAATTATTTTTATTCAATAAAAAGTTTGATTTTATTCATAAAAACGTTTTAAAAATTTCAACTTTTGAGTTTGGATTTATTTTAGTGTGATATTAATTAAAACATTTTTTATGATTAGGGTTATAGGTTATTTAATAGGGATAGAGAACTAAAGAGAGGGGTAACTTTATATGCAAAATGCAAGTTACATCCTGTTGAAGTTAGGGATATCAAAGAATAGCAAGGAGATTGAATCTATTTGGGTTTCTATTAGCAGGTGTAATAGAAACAGATGAAGTTAGTGAAAAACTTTACAGTAAGATTAAGATTTCATCTGTTAATGAAGTCATAATTATGGGTGATTTTAATTTCAGCCATATAGATTGGGAAATGCTAGAGTCAAACCATGAGGGAGAAAGGTTTTTTGGAAACTGTTCAAGATGGTTTTCTGCACCAATTGGTCAAGGAACCTACTAGAAACAATGATATTTGGAGATCTGAAATAATATTTTGCTTACAAATTTAAAAAAATAATTTTTAGAGATAAATTTTTAAATATTCAAGATAAACATATTCCTTATAGAAAGAAAACAATGGCTGCAAGTAAAAACTAGGTTGGCTCACAAAGGGTATAAAAGATAAAATTTAAGAAACTTGAATTGACCAATATGATGTGAGATTATAGAAGATCAAGAAAGTTGGACAAACAGGAAATTAGGACATTAACCCTTTCGAGACTGGTCACTGGTGAAAGGCCATGTCATCTCGTTTGTTGACTCGTGTTCAAAGTTATATTGAACTACTATTTCATGAATTTAGGTCAGTAAGTTTGGTATCAAACTATAGATTATAATTCAAATGTTAGTACTATACATTACTCAATTTCATAATTTAAAAGTAAATATTATAAACATCATGTGGTATGTTGAATGCAGTACCAGTTCAGATTAGATGTTTGTGAAGTCAAAATACGAATCTATTGTATGAAAAATTACAAATATTGACAAGCTAGAATATAAAATAAGGTCTTAACTGTTCTATTTGCTAAGATATTGCTTATGTAATAAATCAAACACAGTGGCACCCCATTTTTGGAAATGCTTCCTTATATTCACTTATTTCTATATATGACATGAATAAGCAATTGGAATATCAGAATGTCCTCGTAACCACCATAAAAAAATTAGGAAATATTATGTCTCTTTTTATTGTAGAATGACAACAAATTATAACATGAAAACATAAATGTTTAGACTAAATAGCTTTAATTTCATAACATTATACATTTATATATGTTTATTATATTGATCTTTCAGTTGTACTTGGCTAACAAAACAGAAGTTACAATGACATGGTGCATGTGCACTCATGTTATTGTATCCAATAATATAAAACTGACCTTTAGTCTTCACAAAGTGACCTGTCTTGGCTATGTTTTAGTAGACTAGTATTTTGTAAAATAGAGTCACATTTCAATTACTATACATTATATATGTATATAGATTATTGCTATTTAGAAATAAGTTCTTAAACTAATTTTTCTTAAAACATAGAACAGTAAATAAAGAAGAAAAGCAGACAATTATATCTTCTAGTTATGACATTTGTACTCGGTTGCTGCTTGACATAGGTTGCTAAGCCTTTTAAAATTTTGCACGTGGAGGGTATGAAATGAATTTTTTTTTATTTTTCAGGTTTTATATATACAGTTGAATAACCAAAAAATCATAAATTACTATATCAATACCATAAAATTCCAATATAATTTATCAGGCTTAGTAACTAAGCTGTATTAGGGTCTAAAAAT